AAAGGTGAAGCCAGTATGAGAGTCCTACGGAAAATCGGTAATGTCGTTAGAAATGGCATCTACCAATGCGGACGCTTGACGGTTGTATAATACGAACCGGTCTGAATGGACACTTGGCGTGTAAAACTTTCGATCAGTCTGATTTGGGATGCCTCGAATTGTGATCGTTGCTGCAGCAGAATGGCCTTGAGCTCATCAGCTGACATGAACATCTTGATTAGGATTCAACCCGTTGCCAGCTGAGCCGTTCGTCCCTCGCCTGCATTGACGGTTGATTCTCAGTCGGAACACGTGGTAGCTGGGCCCCTCACAGGAGAGAGAGAAGACCGAATCGGAAGAGCAGAGGAACAGGGATGTATTATGCAACCACACCGTTCATTATAAAAGCAAACTTGAATGTTCCTGTATGTTATGTAAACCTCACGTGGAAAACTCCAGAAGGGCCAGCTTACGAGCAATCAAGTAATGCAACCCGCGTGTTAATTGGCTGCTTCACCCGGTTGGCTATCTGTTCGCCCCAATCAGGATGGGTGAGTTTGGCTCACCTGCCACGCCTTGGCTCCGTAACGGCGTTGGGTGCCTCGGTTGTTCACTTAGCATATTCCTTCCTAACATACTCGAAACGTACATTTTTATTTTCACCCGTTTTGTTGTGTCGGAATGATGTTTTACCTGATCCCTTACATCTACTTGCCGATCCAATAAAGTTACAAGCGTGTGGTGTTATGGTAGCTAGGAACGTGACATATGTATGTGGCTTCCAGTTTACACTTCGGGTTTGTATTCTGGTTTGACATGTTGAGGCCGCTGCTTCAATTACGAACACAGTGTAGCACACACGGACACCGGTACAAGCTTGTGGTTTCGGTTATAAGGCTAGTTCCCACCTCTGTGCCTCGAAAGAAGACTGGTACATGTTTGGAATAGTCTGACCGAACAACTAATAGAGCTCAAATCTGTGTAGCAGTTCGAAATCTTGTAGGGCTTACATTTCACCATCGTTGGAGTCAGAGAACGATTGCATCGGCCCGTAGCCTAAAGGATCACAGGCCTGCCTGGTTATCCGAGGGCGGGGGTTCGAGCCTGCGTAGGGACTAGGCGACCCACTCAGTGTCCTTAGCTTGCGTACGACTGGTGGCGGTTGTGCAGCAGCGAAGTGTCGGTAATGCGTACAGGGTATTGCTGATACCTAAGTAACACTCCTAGGTATTCTCAGCATTTAGTGAAAATTCGTTAATCGATCAAAGAAATGCTTAAATACGGTAAGAAGACGAAGTGGGCAGATGCGTGCATTTCGTACCGCCTCGTCTGCACCGATATCGATGACTGGCAACGACATACGTACAAGTATTTGAGGGTGCACACATGCAAATGGACAAACAAGAGGAAAAACAGAGGTTTTACCATTACATCCAACGCAGCTTAAGGATAACCAACAATTGCTTTGAAAGCAATGCACTGGTTTAATCTGGTTTATCGCAATAGCCTCGGTGAACCGGAGGATTTTAGATGGTATTGTGCGCCGTGTTGACCTCAATCTTATAACCCAAGTTTAACAAGTGTCTGCCGCTCGAAGATGCCGGTGACTTGTGTGAACATATAGTCTGACTCGTGCCTGCTTGACGTGCAGTCTCTCAATGAATCCATCTTGGCACGTGCTCCTTCACTCAGGAACTCAGTGTCCTATCGATCCTGCTTATATAACTGTCTCCGCAGTTACCTGTGAGCTGGGACATGCAATGAAAGTTGGCTCTGATAGGCTGATTTTCTTTCCTTGAAGTCAGCAGCAGCTTATGAGCTCGGTTGCTAATGGCAACTTCGACAGCACAAAAGGTGCTACATGTGATAGATATCAGAAGCTTTGTAATCATCGGGGTAGTGATGTCACTATATCCAACACAACAATTAGTGGAGGGAAGGAACTAGGAAGCAGGAAGAAGACAGTGCCTTCGAACAATGGTTGGTTGAGGTTGGGATATGCACCAGCGGTTATTCAGTAGGATTCATCTCAGTAGGTTATCTTTTGTATTTCTGAGGAGTATAAATGCTACACCGCAAAAATATCAGTTTGCGAACAAGTATTACCGGCAAGGCGAGGAATATACTCATCATTTCCGGGGCCTTAATGGAGGTAATCGAGAACGCTCAGTGACTAAACTTTAGGGTATGCGAATTTCGTGGATTCATTAGACATTGAGGTGATATAAGAGAGAACTCCCACCACCTGTAAAACTACATGACAGTGCGTGGATGTCGGGTGAGCTTAGATGAAACTAGAAATAGAACAATGGTTTACGAACAGTCTATTCGATAGACTGGTGGGCCAGGTCACATTGTCGGGAGTGTGTCCGGGTAATACCTATTTCAGGCCGGTAGCGCTTATCCTTAGGAGATTTAGCAAGTTTCGTGTGCTTATTCCCACCGTATAAGTTGAAGCATCTGTAGCCACTACCAATCCCACGTGCGTTTTGGCCAATGTGAGCCATATTGACCACGGGATGCAGTCAAGTCTAGTTAAGAAAGTGCCTTATGCACCCAGGATGAGTGAATATTCTGCCGTAACACACTCCTCATGCATGCAACGGTCAGCTCGGCAAGCTACTGCTGACAGAGTAGATGAAGGTGGGACTTGACGCGAATATGCCATTTGCCGCATAACAACAATGTCACCTGAGTTCGATATCTCGGAGTATGTTTGGAACCGTACAGAGTTATTATTTCATTAAGCCAATATTGCGCGGGGGGATATTATAGATTCCAAGACCAGGACCTTTCCTTGAGAGTATACTCCCGACTGAAATAAATATCTCGTCGATCAGTTGATCCGCAGTAAGCATTGTTCCGTCCCCTAGGCTGCTGTCAACCATCAGGCCGTTTCACACTGCTCATTAACGCCTACTCTTTACGTGCATTCGTGAACAAAGAGGTAACCACGTAGCTGATCATTAATTTGCCCTACTCGATGAGCACATCTCTCACCATTTTTATGTATGTACTCGTTCTCCCAGTTAGGGTTGCAGTAAGCTCGCCAGATATCACGCGACTTCATGTGTAAGAGAGTACATGCCATCCGCTATGGGTCGCAAGGGAACATCGGACCTGTGTAATTTTGAGGGGCCGTAACTTCTGGGCAGAATAGTCAAGCTCTAATAAATTCTGTATCACTTACTCATTTCAAAGCTGTTCTTCATGGTCCTTAGTTAGCTATCGACCTCTCTTTCATTGGTATTCATTACCAAGGTCACAGTTCTCCTATGAAGTACCGTAGTCAGATGTTCCATCAGTTTTTCAAACTAATTTGCCTTATTCACTGCCTATGTTGCTTTACCCTTACACACCTTTGTAATGATAATAACAGGATTTTCTTTCAGAGTCTTTAACCCCAAGTATTCAGCTGGTGCAAGATCTGATTCCCCCGGTTTTTGAAATTAAATCATATTTGCTAACTGCACGCAAATGTCCTCTACAATTTCAGCGGGTAATCTCATCACAACAGTCTCAGTGCTCAGAAAGATTGCTTCTGCCCTTACCATGGATTTACTGCTACTAAAATTCAAACCCTTTTCTAGTACTCTACGCTCACCTACACATAATACTCTACCTGACATGGTAACAATCCTGGAATATTCACTACTAAATACGGGCTTGTCGGTAATACTGTCGGCCTTGGTGTCTGCAGCCATCAACTGTACGAACTTATGGAATTTTCTTTCCTCTGACGCCCGCCCACTTGTTGCCTTAACATCGGAAGCCTTCATGAAAAGGCAATCACATAATCTGTGTTACGGCTATGTGCAAACCCAAGCTCAGTCAACTCGCATGGAGGCGGTTTTCACCCAGACGTGTAGTTGTTAACTAGATACTTTGTCGCAGAAATTCTGCCTGCTCTGTGGACTATCCATGCCAAAATGTGAGAAGTAGCCAGAAGTTTTAACGTGAGGGATTTGAAAATAATGTTATTCCTGCGACACCTGATTTTAAAAAGCCGACGATCTTTCCAGTTGGTTTCGAGACATGCTAAACGCACAATTTCACTTGCCAGTTTTTGAAAACGAGGTCTGTATCTGCCTCTGATATCTTGGAATATGTTTGGACCCGATCGGAAAATCCATTTCAGGAACTTTGATGAACGATCGATTAATGTATTTGTCGGGTGCACGACGTTTCGCTTTTGGTACCAAAGCTTCTTCACGTAAAGTGAGCTAGCTTCGAATTGAGCATTATAGTGATCATGGCTAGGTTGCATACAGACAGTCTATGCAATGTGACATGAGCGCTGCTCAACTGGTTTTGAGGGAGTTCACATGTCCCTGCAACAGGCTACACTGTCAAGCTCTCCCTGACCTGTGAGAAGGGTGTTGAAACTAAATTTGGCTGACTTCGTAACGTTGAATGCTTGGATGTACCTAATACTGAAACCTCTCGGAAAGTGCCTTCTAACAAAATGCAGTGGGCGACGAAGGTATGCAGACTATCATACCACCTTTATGTCACGACAGTTTTCAGCACTATCCACAGCGGGCAACTTTCACATCCTGAGATCAAAAGAAGGGCATATGTTCATGGCAGCTATGTGTGGATGCCAGTGAAAGTAACATGTGAACATTACTTTACTGTAAGCGTTCACTATTTTTTCACGAGTAATAATCACCTTCGTGAGTGTGGAATGCTCATCACGCTTTACTGACTCCAAATAATGTTATACTCACCCGGGTGTCGTGAGAACGAAACAAACAATGATTTGGACCTCGTGACAAGAGAATCTCTGGGAACCATGGGCGTGACAGGAATGGAAGTCTCATCAGCATCTCCTGGTGGACCAGTGGTTAATTCATGCAGGAAGGAACAGCCGGGGATTAGGTGGGCGAGAAAAGGTCACAAGGCAGGTAGGGAATTAAGTATGCATCTATGAGCGGTATTATTATAATCAAGCAGGGCTCATGCAACTGCAATGAATTTGCAAAATATCACCAATAGAAACCAGTCTGACTAGGGCTTACCAACATAAGTATGCATGTATTCGAGTTGCTGGCAAATCAAGTCGTACGATGAGGTTCGACACCACTGATCCGCTGTCGTTTCACCGGCGGGTTTGTTCCATTAAAACAGAGTGATAGAAGTAGGAAGGAAATCAGAGCGATAGCACAACATAAAGAAATAACAGTGGCATACAACATTGGTGACGACAGTAACATGAACAACAAGACAATCACTATCTGCATCGTACTAAGACCGACTAGCCAAAGGTGCACTGATAACAAGGTTATCCCGAACTCCTAACAGATGGCGTTGGAACGGAACTGATCTGATGGTTTAGGAACGACTCCTATCGCGTTTTTGGAAGTCGTTGGGAGCAATAGGTCCAGCAGCTTGTGGAATATCATACTGACCACCGCCGTAGCTGACCAACATCCATTGAAACCAACTTAGCATATTAACTACTCCAACAGTGGCGATAACGACTTCAGAAGTGTTGCATTTCCAGTGGGTTGCAAAAACCGAATTGCATTCTGTTTTTCAAGCGTAAACCTCTGAGAACTGAGGCGATTACAAGGAAGCGATGAAGCCTACTCAAAAGACATTAGTTGAATTACCCCTCGTGAGAAATATACTTGATAGATCAACACGGTTCAAAAATAGGTGAAATATGTTGTAACACAAAAAGCATTCCGTATGCTGCTGAAGGACTGGGGTCGATTGAACTCCGTTAAAATGTCACTCAGAGAGCTACGTTAGAATTCCCATGTATTGTTACTGATCGAACATTATAGTCCACTTACAACATAGACTACTGTGTGAAAACTACACAGAGTCGACGATTACTGTCCTCATCTCGGAATCATTACTCCCCTATTCCACTTTGCCTTGCGGTAGAGACATTTGTTGTTCATTATAACGCAATGGTGTATAACCCGTTTTGAAGGACAAGGTGCAGGAAAATTGGTTTTGGAGTGACATGTATGTGTGTTTGCCTTCTCCTACACTTGCTTTGTTGCCAGCGTAAGGATGAATCGGCGCCTAGAATACCAACGTAACAGAAGACGCACATTTCAGATGTATTCATCAGAGTCCAGTCTCAATCAGCAGGCTTTGGCACGTAGTAGCGCAGTAGACAGCGCTGTTTCCACCTTCTGGGTTTCGTCAGTGGTGCGTCTTCCACGGACCGTTGCCGGGTTCCGACCCCATAACCCCGGATGTTAGCAGGTTGTGCCACTAAGCCATGGGTGACGGCCACGGACCTGCAGGATTGACATTTGTATATGCTATAGCCCGGCTCACTAGTAATTTATCACATTTGATTGCCATGTGTAGAAAACTGCTTCCAGACGAGGGGTGCATAAAACTATGCTGGTCGGAACAGTGCCAGTAAAACCAATTCGGTCAAGATGAAGAACCTCATCTGTACCAATGAGGACAGTATTTTCAATCAAATCCAGTTCATTGTAGTAGGTATGGCTGAATCCTGGTGTCAAGATTCATCGATCGGACCAAGCGCTTCGGAATGGACAGCCCACAGATGACACCCAAGAGTGGTACCGCACAAATGCTTCACCAGTTTGTGATTTGCTTACACACACGGAGTCCTGCTGGTGGAACGAATCTCAGAAAGCTGGGGAAATGTGACATACTGAATCCCCAACGCCGCATGCACCCAAATAGTCCACACAATCTTGGCTGGTGTTTTCATAGGCATAGTCATCATAAGCACCTGCAGACACCACGGTGGACATTCTGAGCGAAGACAAAGTACGTATCTACGGTCATTACCTCAGTATTCAAGCCACCGTAGAGTTAAAACAAATTAGGTGAAGGAATGTCGCCGAATATCGACCGCAGATGAAAACTGTCGGACATACTTTATAAACTGCCCCGCTATCAATGAGGTTATGCTGTCGGTTGATTGAAGAAAGAGGGCTGCCAAGGTGGAGGATTCCAGTGTGTTTCAAACGAGAGTCAGGATAAATCCATATTTCTGCTGCGTAGACTGATTTGCTTGCTACTGTGGGGCAATCTATACAAGCCACCTCACATGAAGAATGTATGCGTGCATTAGAAATCGCCATCTGAAGTGGCGTAGTAGCGGTCTAGCGAAAACCTGTTCGATGGTGTTAAGCACACTTCTTTGAAACCAAGTACAGTTTCGACACATGTGAGGCTTTTCATCAGTTGTGCCACGTGTCATCAAACTAATTGACGTAGGTCATGTGTCGACTCCTGGTGCCCATAAATGCGTCCGCTCATCGTTTGAAAACACCCCAACATGCCTCCAAAAACTAGATATCATGACGTCCACCTAACCGCAGCTGATCGTTGCAGACATAGCTGGAAGCCGAAATTATTCCTGTGGATGGTGATCCCTAATATATTTGGCGGTTAAAAGATGACGTGCTTGAGCCACTGTGATTACTCAAATGTTTGGTTTCGCTGAAAAAGTTCATTGGAAACATTAACATCAACATGTTCCACATCGTCCCTCACTTAGAACTCTGGTAGCTGAAAATCTGCTGCCTACCGTTGGTTGATGAAATACTTGAATTGTAATAACCCATAACTTCAGACAGGTACGAAACTAGCAGCAAACCCGAATTGATCATGCCTGGAAAACACTACTTTGGAAGCTGTCCAGGACAAGTAGAGAATTGCAGCCAGATGATCGACGTATATCATTCTTGGCAGTGCCTCCAACCGCCGTTATCGTACTTACGTGTTCTTATCTGGACACTGACCCTAACCCGATAAGTACACCTTTTCCCGATTGATTGCATCAATAGTGCAATCGGATTGTTCCCTAAGAGCTTGATTTGCATCCGTAAGCCAATTGAACATAGTCCTTAACGCATTTGAATTGCACCTAGTATCTTTCCGACGCACCATGCGCGTTGTTTCTGATGCTGTCTCCTTGAACCAATTGACCCAGCTTCACTTCATTTTGAATCAAGGTTCACATTGACATTGATTGTCGCAGTCCATTCGCACGTCGAATACTGCGAGTGGATGCACAATCAGCCGGAAGATTGCCTTCAGTGCGTGCTTCTTTGGAATGTTGAAAAGCAAAAATCTGTTTTGTTATATTTGCTTCTGGACAAAGAGCCACCAAACATTTGGTTACGCCGGTTTGTCACTTTGCACATTTACAAAACCTGACGATGGGCTACCGTTATTTCCTTATTTTAGCGAAGTACTAGTCAAGAGCATACGATCACTGCCAGTCGTTTTAACGAATTTTATCAGCCGGTCAGTTAGGACAAGGTGTAAATCATTCTTGACCATAATGTGATAAACAAGACTTGAGTGTAAAGTGAAATCTCCATACTTTAGGTATTGAGGTAGTGCGTTATCAAGTCACTTGTTTGTCCGTGCTGCTTGGTGACTCCAGAACGAGGAGCTCCATACTGGATAACTCGCTTAGAACAATTGCAAGACAAAGCGGTGAACGCGAATGTGAAAACGGGTCCTACTCCTAAGATTTACGCAACCTTTCCTAGAGAGGATAGGTGCTGAGCTCCAACCAAACTTTTCAGTTCGCTAAATGCTATCCTCTCTTCCTCTGTTGCATAGTACTACATCCAAATTCAGCGTCTGACGATCTAAGATTCAGTCAGAACTTGTTAAGCAGTGACTTGTGCCTGATGTCAGAATTCGTGCACAGAAAAATCACTGGATGTGAAAGAATGCTTATTGAATCAGAAACAAACTTATGGTGCTATCCTGAAACAAATCTGTATACAGTGATCCGTCCACATTTGGTGGAATATGTACCGAGGTATCGATGAATAAAATATTCATTTATCTAGCAACCGCAAAACGCATCGTCACTCTGTGGCACAACCAGTATCAAAATGCTATCTTGAAGCGCTTTTCGACTGGCTTCGCGTGTTACTTGCCGATGCCACCCTATTCAAATCTCATTAGCCGGATGCTGTGTGTTCCCTGCTCTAACGGTAATAGCCTGTCGTATTTTCCAGTACTCCGAGATGGCTTCGCAGTGACGATATCCCCCAGAACTAATCCTCTACTGATTGGTCATTCACACTGATCCTGGCTACTTGCCTGCATCATTGAGCGAAACACTGGTGATTTATGATTGGTAGACCTCCATCAGACCTCTATACATGATGGTTTTAAACTCACAGCTAAAACTATGGTGACTGCTCATGTAGAAAACCCAGAGAAGACTTTATACACCAAATTTCTTACTAGGCGCTTAGTAGTCTGTCAATGTCTCGACGTATAGACAACTCCATCTAAGGCATCAACGTAGGTAGAAACGATCGAAGCTCAGCCACTGGGTTAGCGAAAACAGCAGTTCACATGGGGATGCGACGTTGCTCTCATATATTCCAAAAATTATTTAAGGGGACTGTACTAGCTAAAAAGTAAGGATAGTGAGTGTTAGGAAGGAATACGCGGTGCGAACAAGCCAAGACCCCATCGCCGCGGCAGGCGATCCAACCTTATCCGCCCTGATTGGGGCGAACAGACAGCCAACCGGGAGAAGCGTCCAACTAACGCGAGGGCGGCGTTCCTTGATTTACTGTAAGGTGACCTTGCCAGAGCTTTCCACGCTCGCTTTAAATAACATTCACGAACTCCCCATTTCACTTTTATAATGAACGGTGTGATTCGCTGATACATCCCCGTTGCTCTGCTCGTCCGATCGGGTTTCTCTCTGTCCTGTGGGAGGCCAGCGACTTTGGGTTTGGATTGGGAATCAAGCGTCCATTCAGCCAAGGGACAAACCCTTCAGCGAGGACAGGTTTGTGTCATAAAGTACCAGTTTTATCGGTGAGATGGACACATCAAGCTTCTATTCGCAGAACATTAATCTCATTTAGTTAAGTATTGCTATACATCCTGTAGCCAAACAGTAACCTCCTGATGATTGGATCCTTGAAGAGCCCAACTAAGTTTAGTAAAAGTTCGAAGAACACAAGCCTTAGGGTTTTGGGTTGCGGTGCTGCTGTTTGGAAAAAAGAACAGAAAAACGCGTTCCTCATCGCAATCATGGGAACATTCACTAACCTTGATCTTCAGTGGAAGACAACTCTAAGCGCCTGGGACGCCGAGCGGATAGAGGAGTTGGCAACAACTCTTCTGGCGATGGACAAAGATGAACCGAAAAAGCACGATGAAAACAAATGAACTACATATAAGTCACAACGAAACCAAGCACAACATATGCACAACACAAAGCACATTCAGTTTTTGAGACAGTTGTGATAGTGTGAGGGAGGAGACATGCAACCTCAATTAGTAAACTGAACTGTGTGAAAATATTGCGATTGAGAAACTGCTACTTATCGCTAGCGATGACGGGGGCGAGATCGTAGTGGAAAGGCGACGATTACGCTCCAGTGATGCGTCAGAACGCAATGCCAAGGCTACGTATGATATGAGTGAGAAACAGCGCCATCGCTGCGATTCTGTAGACCATATCTTGCAGTGGTGCGCAGGGTTGATATGAGTGTTTCGCACAAAAAACCGGTTTTATGCTCTGGACTCAGTAGATGGGAAGAATGCTGACTAATTCACAGATCGCTCGTGACCAAATGAAGTGTATTCTGCAACCCTGCCTTTGACTCCGTGACTGACTTGACGTACGTTTACCATGAAAATGTTGACTGCTAGCATACATGGAAAATCGATAAACTGTACACTAGAGTACACTCTAGTGTTAGCGTGCATTGTGGTTATTAAGCTTAGCAACCGTGTAACCGTGAGTTGGTTTGAACGCCACCGTAGCATGCAACAAGAGAGGAAAGGTATCTGTTCTTGTATACGGATATAAAAGTACCAGAAACAGTATATGTTGATAAAGCTTATAGGACAAATTCATTATGCGAAAAGTGGCCTTTTAACCAGTTCAAACAGCTGACTGAGTCAGTTAGTAGCAGTGCTAGTGAGTGTTTTTCTATTTTAACTAGTAAAATATGTGTCAACTCTTGTGCCCATCAGAGTAATTATGCAGGCAATACTGCGAAAATCCCGGTAACCAGTAATTAACTAAACCCCAAACGCGTACTTCAACAATCTTCTGATGAACAGCGGGTGGTACGCCTTTATCATGATCGAGAACTGATGGGGCTCTTTCGCACCACTGCACGTTGTATAACTCAACAGGGTAGACTTGAACCGTTTCCCCTCCGTGGAGACGTGTCAGCGCATACATTGAAATGATCGTACCTTTTTTCTAAATGACACACACGTCCTTCGTTAGTACGCATGCACAGATACGAGAACCTGTTGCTACGCACAGACGGATTGCTTCCGCTTGGTTAACTAGCCAAATTATGCTATTCGGGATGGTGGCATGTTATAACTCAGGAAAGAAGTGTATTCCGTCCACACCCCTCGTCCTTTGCCTCTTGAGATCTATCGTATTAGTTTAATGTCATTATAGTTCTCGGGGAAGGGAACTTCTCTGTATGGGGATGTTGTTCTTTTGAAGTGGAGGGTTGAATAAGTACAACTTTCTTCAAACCATTAGATGCGGTTAATAAGAAAAAGAGCCTTCGTGGTACACAAGAAATCGTAGGCAAAAAGTACGCGTTATTTCAACCTGTTCATTCTGGATAAAGTGTAGAATTTTGATGCCAGTGATTAGTAAAAGTTATTCTATGCCTTATCAATGGCTGTTGTCGGTGCCTGGTTGGGCTTTGCTAGCATTAAAATACACATTCTTCGTCTTCATTGTCATCGAGATTTTTACTACGTCGTAACTCTGAAACGTCCCGGCTGTCTGCAATCTTCCGGGATCCTCGGATTAAAATTGTATATATTATTAAATCCAGTCGCATTACTACATAAGCTAAGTCGAGTAAGGTCTGTTTACTGATCTTTTTAAAGTGGTGAAACCCTAGAGCTTCTGGTGATATTGGAAAACTCGGTGAACTTCGGTCTCTTTTAAGGTCAGTTGCTGTCACAAATTTACAATGGTCGATTGCATTTTCGTTCACATTGAAGTTCGGACCACTACATCTGCCCAAGAAACGTTAATTAAATGCAGTCTATCTCCGACCGGCGTTAAGAAACATGCATGTCTTAACGAAGTCGTTACTATCGGAGAGGCCGCAACTCACCTCCCTCTTCTTCACTATCCGAAACCACATGATCTGTCATGTGTTCCGCTTTTTCGAAAGTGGTAATGCCTGCAGTGATAATGCCTGTGCCTTCATCCATTGGTCCGTTGACCGTGGGACCGGCCAAGCTGGGTGCCGACCAGTCTGTGACATCTGTCGTGACTTTCTGAAGCGTCTCGAACACGTTCAAATAGTGCTGTTTGTGAGCCAATTGAGCTGGTGTACATCCTTGCTGCAAATGTCATAGAGACAGACAGGGAGTGGAAAGCTGAAAATCAGTGAAAACTGGAGGATGGAAAGTGTAAGTGCATGAGTATTTTACGTAGATGTCGATGTCGTTGTGTAAGTTCACCGCAACGGTAGCTCTCTTATATTCTCCCTTCCAGCGCGTTCAACGGAGGTGGACAAACTGCAAAGAAGTTGTTTCAGCTCTCTTGTGACCAGGCCTGAGTGGAAGGCCGGGTGCTATGGATGGTATAAGAAAAACAGCTGCAGTAGCTGCACCAATGAAAGAGCTACTAAACTTGACAGTATAGACCTCATAACCTGCCTAAGTTTCACTCCCCTTCGATGCCGGTGGAACAGCTGTCTGCTAGTCAAGAGTAAGCGTTGCGAAGCAGCGATAAAGTCGGTGTTACTCGTCGGATCAATAAAGTGGACAGTTTACACCAAGGATATTAAGAAGATAAGCTTCTTTGACCGTCGGTGCTTACGGAATATTGCTAGAGTGCAGTGGGAAGGCCGAACTAGTAGTCTGTGGTTACAAAGAAACCATTTGGTGCGGCAACGGTGCATGTTGTAAGCTTGAAGCATTTACTCTGGTTAGGTAGGGTCCTTGGTACATTGGTTGACTAGATTCCTGACTGTGTGCTATCGCTGGGCTTGGTCCGATAAGGTCTTAATGTGGCCGGTCGATGACGTGGCATAAAGGTGTGGAAAAATTAACCGAATGACTGGTACATTCCACCTCTGCGGATGAGGGCTTCAGCGGTCAGGGACTCTTGCAGACAGCGTGTTCGCACATGTAGTGGCGCTTTTGCATTCGGTTTCTTGCGTATACCCCCGAAATTCAATTATCCTTAATCTTCTCCGTCTTTCCGCTGTAGTTCATATCGCTCACTAGCATTATTTATTTCAACTATTCTGGTGAAGCGCATGGTGACAACTGGATCTACCATGCGAAGATGTTCAGCTAATGGTTACTAAACTGAACGGAGCGAATCACAAACAATCTCGTTTCATGTACGTAATGCAACCTCGTAACAAACTTTTGATAATCATATGGCTGCACATCCAGTCATCAAAACCATAAGAAAGATAAGGCCGGTTAGTAAACATCGATGACCTATCACACATGACCCCATTGAGCATTGTGGATACCCCATTATAGCTTGCGACCAAAAACTAATGATAAAGTTAGATTGTACTTCTGCCTCAGCATGTTTTTCAGAGCACAAGGCCCAATCCGTGCGAGAGCGATTCGAGCATCAGGGTGTTGTAAGCGGACACATTTCGACCACCAATAAGACATGAATGAGCTCACAGTAAGCAGTCTTAACTCAGTAACATACAGTACACGGCCTGTGGATTGTTAAACTAACAGAGTTGTTGTGGCTGCGGCACATACTACAACTCCTCCGTGCTGGGCATATGTGGTTCAGGTTTAACTTGCATTTGATATGCTTGCAAACGTTAAAGATCTCATTTACTGACCCTTTAGGTAATTGTATTCGCGTGTCGTAATCCATTCACGCAACAAGTGCTTCAAACTAATCGTCCAATCAGTCATTTACGATTGTGACAAACATTCCCCATCGTGACTGGGTGCCTGAAGAAGTAGAGATTTCTACTAGCATCCCAATGGCCCTGGGCTTGAGGTCCGCCATCTCTATCTGATGACATCAAATAATATCGAAACGCATCATAGAGTGCAGTGTTTTTGGGCGGGTAACAACTAACATTCATCTGCTTTATCAGCCAAGGTCCCGGTGATCGAATTGAGCAAGTTTCACTTCAATGCGAATCGTTATCCGCACTGATATCAAGTGTCGCAATCCATTCACGCAACAATCTGTGAATCCGGTGCTTTATGAGATCATGTTTCATGACCTGTAAGTAGAACAAGTAGTACTAATTTCAACTGTGGTCCATATCACATAACAATGAACTCTAACTTACCTAATTACCAAGCAACTGTAGCTACTGATTTCGAAATGTGGACAACTGAAATCTGTTGATACAAAGCTATTCTATTCCGTAATATTTGTGGTCCCTCGACAATGCACCAGCGTAGCAGCAGGTTTTGATCGCAGAGGGCAGCTTAGGGGACCCATGGAACAAACCATTTAGCAACCAGAAATCGAACGAAGGTAGCCGTAGCTATGGGGATCAACCAAGTCCTCTGCACATTCATAATATGCATGATACTGGAGGATGAGCCGCGCTATATCGCAGTTAGATATCGGTCATGGTGGTCCGTCGCCTTCACCCTGGCTCCAAGGCATAAGTCGCTGGCTCGCAAGAGTAAAGGTCATGGGCTCAAATCCGGCAGAATTCGGCGGGGGTGCGCTACTGACGAGTTCTAATGTGATAAAACTGCCCTCTAGCACTTTCTTTTATGTCTTGTGGTTGTCTAGCTGTATCTAACTGTGACGAATCCTCACAAAAACAATCAGAAAGCATTTATTGAACCCTTATCCTCAAGTCAGCCCAAGGAAACATTCACTGTTTCTATGCGGAAGCAGGACCACTGCACATGATCAGGCTACTGGAACTCGGTGTTATCTGTCGAGAGCAGCTGCGACCCTGCAAAGAGAAGCAGCGCAAAATGCACCACTTGATCACCGGTCGGTATCGATCCATCTAAGATAACCTCTAAGATTTTGCTTGTTTTAACGCACTTTCCAATAGATCGGGTTCCAATAAAAAGGGGAACCGGCGGTGCGCCCAATTGACGGGTCACAATCGAGCGAAAAGACCGTATAGAATTTATCTTGATGATTAAAATACCGTCAGACTTGAAGCTACTGCCGAGAGTCTTAAAACAATTACATCTCAGATCCCCTACTCACTAGTGATGGCAAATGTGTGCTTGTGATTGGGGCGAATGCATAAAGTGGCTGAGTCATCTCAGCTTGCGTCCTCTGATATTCTTCATTGAAAGCTTAAGGGATTTACTTTTTTCGCCAATCGGTTGCTTACCTATAGACGTTCGTATTCTCTGACCCACACAGTGTGTGGTGAAACCTATTACCGCAACGAGTGGGTTGCATAAATTGTGATAAATTGGCCTAACTAGTTATGCACATCTACTGCTTCTGGCATAAGCATCTAGCTACCCTGTGAGTTTAATTCACTCTGCATTTGTACCCGTGATTATGTTTCATAGTTCTACCCTAAGAAGGACCAAACTTGTTTCGTAGGAGCTGCCAAATTACATCTCCTTACTCTAATTTTCGAGCAGGAACGACTTGCTATTTGTCAACTGTATGTCTTATCGGGAAATGTAAGGTCCAAAACTCAGTTTGCTTACTCTGGCTAACTGAGTGGCAAAATTAACCCTGGTTCCTGCACGATCATGTGTCACAGCAAATATGTGCTTACCAAGTTAATGAAAAATGAAGTGGAAGGATTTTAGAAGTTGCCCGCCCGAAGGGGTGTGCACTGCTTTGTCTGCGGGTGGATAACACCCATTATCCGTCTGCTTCATCAGCTACGGTCCCAGTGATTGAATTCGCCAAGATTCACTTCAGTGCGCATTATAATCCGTTCACAGAACGAGTCCTTCAAAATGACCCTCCAATCAGTCATTTATCTTCACGATAAGCATTCCCCCTTTGTGACTATGTGGCTAAAGGGGGTAGACCTCCCAACTAACATCCCAATGGTCCCGGGTTCAAGGCCTGCTATCTCTAGCTGAGGAGATCAAACAAGGTCAAAATGCGTAGTGGAGTGAAGTGTTTTCAGACAGGCAACACCCAATATATATCTGCTTCCTCTGTCACACGGTTCAAGTGATCGAATTGACGAAGGTTCTCTTCAAAGCGCCTCACAATCCATTCACCGGACTAGAGCTTCCAAATGACGCTCCAATCAGTAATGAAAGATGGTTATCCGTCAACGGTCCGTCTGGTGTTGAGAGCAAATGCCCACACACCGCGATACACAACAGCTGGGTAACAATGCATAGCCGAGTCTAAAGGAATTCACACCTTACTTCGGTAAGTATTTGGAGGACGTTGAAGTGCCCCATTTAAACACCTAGGGCCGACCAGGAAGAACACTAGAATGTCATTCTTATCGGTCCAGAACATTGATTCCTAGGTGAGTGAAGCATTTTTGCAATCAAGTGGTGTAAACAACTGGCGTTGGTGGTCGCAAATGGTATCATGTTGACAGATAGGTAAGCGTGAGTAGTCGTGTAGTTAGAATAACCGGAAAGATGCGCCAAACGTTTGTAACGCCTTGAGTCAATTCGGGATAACGACATAACGGGGCTGCGCAGCGGTTCGCGTAGCACAAACATATTTCCTCCGTGCTTCATAAAAACTAGCTGAAGCTTTGCAGTACTGATCTGGTGAAGTGTTTAGCTCTGCGGGTGTTGGATGCAGGAATTCACAAAGGTTAGTTCCACACTCCATATCAACTTAAATCCTTCACAAAGTAGATCTGAATATGCGAATATAAACTGACCGCACCAATTAACATACAGAGCCACAGTAGTCTCAACTATGGTGAATGGTAATATTGTTGCTCTCTGGATTTCCTCGGAACTGCCTCAGTAAAGGCCACTTACTCGATTTCTGGCGTTCGGGTTGGCACCAGATTGCAGCAGTTTGAGAACAACTCTCAGATGTCCCTGCTGGGCAGCCAAATGTAGTGGAGTGGAGCCCAGCTGAGTGCAAGCGTTAACCAGTGGGAGAATTTCCTCCTCTGGAATGCGACTCAACAAAACTCGTAATGCTGCCAGCTGCCCGCTGTACGATGCAGTGTGAATGGGTGTGAAGCCAGCGTTGATCGTTCTCGCTTGTAACGGGGCACCAGCATCAAGAAGACATTCGGCGACAGCCACTCGGTCTTCCTGTACGGCCAAGTGGAGGGGCGTCAATCCATCCTGGCATAATAAATGAATAACATCGCATAAGCAGAGAACATTTATTTTTAAACATGTCTAAGTCATCTACCACATGCAGATATCTGGCGTAGTAAAATGCACAATCTGCCCGGATAATTGGTGTTGCCTGATGTAGATTAGGCAACCGGCACGCTGACTTCGAAACAGATGTACATTAAATTTAAGTAACAGTTTTGGAACAAACTGAAGCATTGAGTTATTTTGGATACTGCCAATTAACAAGATATGGCAAACAAAGTTGCAAAAACCGGCGTGAAACTCAATGTCGTCAATTAGCTCTGTCATGCTACTCTTAGCACTATCCAAAACAACATTATTCCTGAAATCAGAACCTATCCGATGTCTCAGTACACAACAACCAATAAAAGTACCGAATGTCAGAGACCAATCAGCTCTGATGTGTAGACAGGAGGTCATTGGTGGGCCCATGATTTTCTTCATATTGTTTTACAAGAGACTGGTTACTCACCGGACTTGTTCTCGGAGGTGAACTTGCTTAGTAGACCTCCTCGAAGTCAGGCAGTTTTGGCTCTAGTTAGAATGTAATAGCTGCTTATGCCGCAGGGCTTAATAGCAGGGGTTTCTGGAAAGTATTCATTTTATTGGAATTGAAGCGTTTGACTGAGTGCATTGATAAGTGAACAAAGTAAACCAAACCTAACTACGAATTCTTTGAACGCACAAACTATCAAGTCATATATGCACTCTTTGCGGTTGGACCTAATCAATATTCTAAAAGTCCCTCATTTGAACGAAACACGTTTTTCGTACACTCAGCGATGCAACCGGTGAAGTCCTTGCTTGAAACCAACATACCACCCTTTACCCAGTCTTGAAATACTGACGTATCAGTGTACCACGGTTAACATCACTTATTTCCAAGTGTGCTCCTAAACTGGGGTGGCATTTCCTCGCAGCGAACAACCTTAGAAATCTTTATTCAACCACCAGTACGTGTGCTTCTTGAAGAAACCAATTAGACCCAGAATACGCCGACTCGGTTTTATAAGTAATTGGGTGCGATTAGAATGAAAGGCTGTCAGTTAAATGGTGCTCAGAAACAACCACCTCATCCTGCCAATCCAAATCATTTTGCTACCGTAACCATGGAAATAGAATAACATTTCTGTTGTAAAAACGCAGTTTGTGCCCAGGGGATCAGGATTTCAGTGGTTACCAAGCAACCGGTTACCCGGAGACACAAAATGGTAACTGGTCTCTTTTTAAGAAAAACAATGTTTGGTCACTTTTTTAGAGTTCATTATCATTAAACTGACTAGTTGAAGCACGTACTTTTGCAGCAACCCCAGGTGAGGCTTTGTAGCGGTTAATCAATAGTCGGACCACTTCTAAGTGCCCCTCTTGGGCGGCTAGGTGCAGTGGAGTGTACCCAGTTCGGGATTCCGCTTCGACTGCAGCACCATGTTGGGCCAGAAGTTGGACACACTCGGTGTGATTTCGCTTCGCAGCCAGATGCAAGGGTGTGAACCCGTTTTTCACTGATTTGTTCACGTCTCCCCCATGTTGCAAAAGTATCTCGAGAAGCTGTAATGAAAAGTGCCCATCACTTGTGAATCTGCTCTGATGCGAATGTGACAAAGTAATTTCGCATACCGAATTGTGTTCAGTGTCAATGGGTGCTTGAACTCACTGGAAGCTGGTTGTAGAAGGCTGCCACATGGACTGGAGTGAATCCGCTGCGTCCAGGAGCATTAGGGTCTGCGTTGGCCTTTGTAAGCAGGATCCGAGCAATGTCGGTGTTCCCATGCTTCGAAGCCAAGTGAAGTGGAGTAAATCCCTTCTGTGCAAGCAAGAGAGGTAGAAGAATAACAACATATGCGCATATGAATTGCACTCTTACTCGATGGTGTAAACACACTCCCACTTAGGGCGATAATGTCTATGTGTATCGCGCTGAGTTAACGGGTATATTTGCAAATCAGGCCTCAGTAAGGCGGGTAGGCAGTAACCACATTACTGACCCAGTCTGTCACGATATTCGATCCGGTTTCAGACCAGCATGATTTTTCTCCTTTAGTTTGCAAAACAAACCATTAGGTTTTCTGTGCGCAAAGTAAGGCAAAGTTTGATGAATGGTCGCAAAGTGGTGGTATCCCCTTTGATCCTGCGAGACAGAACCGATCTGAGCGTTACGAATTCACTTTGCATTACCGACCACGTTCTCACTGTTATTGGATAGGACTTTGGTGGGAATCTTGTGTTCCAGCCAATGAGGAAATATGACCTACAAATTTAGGTATGCACTAACTAGTGGTGTACTTTGGATCCTCAAATACGTCGGTGATGGATTCACCATCAACAAGAAAAAAAGAAAAACTTACGAAAAGCAGACATAAACGATTGTAAAACTTTCTTTGGAAGGGGACGAAAGATACACGACTAGCTAAATAGTATGGTTTAGAGGTTTCAAGTTATGGCGTCACAAATTTCAGATGTCGGGTAAGCTTTTGTAGTCGTTTGCCTGGCGGACCTAGAGAGTTTAATGAACGAAGACGATGTTACCAGAGATATGTCATAGTGTCCTTGACTCTTTCCCTCTTAGGATAGTACGAACTACCATCATAAGTCCTCCCCAAACCATACGAACGATCTGCACGCCACTCGCGCCGAGGAAGATGGTTGCAATCTGCAAGTACGATGTGGCTTGACCCATGCTAATAGTTTACTGTGACAGCCAATCCAGTGAGTCCCAAACTCGACCCTCGAACCCTAACCGCCTACGGCATAGGTCAACCAGCACTCAAACTATATTTCGGTCTTGATGATTTGGTACTGGTGATCAAAGACGCGTATTCCCTTGTCTGCAACGCGTAGATTTGAACCATACATTTACACGGGGAGTGCCACAACGTTGGATTCGCCGCCTTCCACCGATAACGGGCTGACCAGCCGCATCCATAGATGATACGGCTTCACTCACTGACGTCGTGGTAAGTCTTTGGAATAGTAGACTTTCCTGGTTTACATTCACTTCGCACGTTACGGCTCCCCAGACGTTTGCAGCATGTTCTCTGTACATGTGTGTGCATGTGTTTATCTCACCCTCAGTGTTTCTACGCCTGTGTGTTTGGGTGTTTACCTTGTGCAATATGTCTCTGGCCCTCATGCTGTGCCTCATGCTGAGGTTGAAGTTGTATTCTTCATTATTCTTCACCGCAGTTGGGCTAAACCAACTTAGACTTAAACTAGGTCTCTTTAATCCGGATAAAAGCTATTGCACTTCATTTGGTTCGTTCAATTCTGTTATTCTGCTGAACATTCTGTGCCAATTTTGCGGGTTTGCTTCCCCTTACATTCTATGTTGGTTGTTTGATATCCCCATGCGGCTTCGCTTGATGTGAATGCTGACAAGGTGCCTACATGTCTAACACCCTCCACCTCCACAATGAATAATTGCTGGGGGGTGCACGATCCCCGTGACCGTGCTAGGCAAAAAGACTGGTTCCATCCAGTCTGGAGCGGAATACGGCCCAGCCACCGCCTAGTGTACGTCTGGCAGGCATGATTCCCTACCTAGAAAGACAGGAATGCTACTGCTGTGCAGGTTGAAGGAGTGTAGGCCGGCTCCTTTGATAAAATCGAGCTCCCATCCACATGCCTCCCGGTCTTATTCCTTCGGGTTTACATTGGATATAGCGTGTGTGGATGGAGCTATGGGTGATGCCGCGCAAGCCACCCATGGTCCCCCTGTAGGAGCAGGCGTCCTGTGGCTGTCCCCGTGGAGGCTGCAGTGACAGGCAAATCAGGAACCGGATGCCTCCAACCATCTCACTGTGCCCGCCTCTTCGTCCAGGAAGTGTCCTCGATCTGGTGATGTGACCTTCCTACCTACCTTTATACCTACAGGGGCGTACATCATGCTTGCGCTAGAAATTGTAAACATTCGTAGGCCGGATCAGATCTGTTGTGTTCCATCCCCCGGTCAGAAGCTTGAGTGCCTGTTTACCCATTGATTGACCGGGTTTAAGCCGGCCCGTTCAACCTTCGTTCACTTGCACTTCGGACAGCTGGTGGCGGTTGACGACTTCGTGCGCACTGGGTGTTTGAACGTCTGTCCGGCGCTATTTCTTGTCACCATAAGAGCGTAGACAATTGAGGTTTGTCTTTGCAGATTATTAATGTCTTGTAAATGGCACTATGGGGTTTGGGTCCAGATGATGTTTTGAACACTTTGGAATCGCTCCTTACGCGTAGCTCAACGACTGCGTTCTGAGCGGCGCGTCTGACCTGTTGACCCATTAGTTAGCTATCCAAGTTAGTAGTGCTCTTCCCCATTTCACAGCAACCTATCACCAGCTAACGCTCTTGCTAAATGCTGAGGTTTCTAGTCCGGTGCTGTTTCTGAGCCTTGCAGTTATTCTACACGGATTTACTGTTAGGAGCATGTTTATCTTTGTAACTAAACAAACAGATGCCAAAAATATCCACTAAGTAACCGTTGCCATCAAGTTAGGTGTGTGGGACACTTTGAGGACCACACTCACCGCGCGAAGCGCACAACCACAGTCAGCAGTGATCCATTTCATCGTGAGCCTGCGCGACGAACTAACAGATGCAAAGTTGCTTGCACAACGGAAGCCAGGAGGGCAAGCGCTGTGAAGGAGTGTGCTGCGGAGTGTAGAGCATGACCCGAATAGAGATAAGTGCTCTGGTATGATCTGTTCTTCAGCACTAACGTGCATTATTGACGTCTGGTGGCAGTGTAGTCAATTTGGGCACTGTGAGACATTAATTCATTGTGTGGATTTGAAAAAAAAGCGGATAACGGCAAACATGGACCTAGAGACCCTTCAGAGAATTGGAGCTCCAAGGCGATACTGAACTTTTTTCAGCCTGATAAACAAAATCATGGGCAATCATGCAATACTGTGGTAGTTGCAACGGGAAAGGGGCACAAGTCGCGGGTATCTGGACGACGCAGTCTGACAATAAGGATCCTTGCCTTCGGATCACGCCGTCGCTGTTGTCACGCAAGCGGCGAAAGTTAATCATGAGGGCTATAAGCTTACTCGTAAACTGTATCAAAAATATTGGTCACTTCGTGGATCTAAATTGGTGTTTGGTAGTCTGTTACTCTTGATTTCTAGGTCAAAGTATTCCCCTTGATAACATGTAAGTTCCAGGTTATTAGCGGGGTAAGTGGATATGCACCGCAACTTGCCCCAGCTTCGGACTGCACTATTCCAAAATCACCGAAGCGTCCCAAATCTCGTTAGATAAAAATACAATTGTTGATAAGTGGGAGGATTTCTAATGAAATGCTTTTGATTAGTCCCAGCATCTCACAAGCCAGATAGTTTAACTACTAATCCGGAAGAACATCAGGCGCCGTTTCGCCCTATTCGGGTCCTTCAGTGGTGGTGGTCCTCCGAATCCTTGACCGCTAGCAGCATACGCCAACTAACCAGTCGCTTATGCCCCTGAGCCATGAGGAACGGTAGCAGATCAGTACCACTTGCTAGCAAACTGCGATATAGCACGACCCATTCTCAAATGTTATGCAGGTTTCTACCATTGCAGAGGACCGTGACTGTCCTCACTTGGCAGCAGTTTATGTCACTGAGCCTTGTGGACGGTGGCAGATCGGCACAACTTACAAGCTAACTGGGATATCGCACCACCTATCCTCAAATGCGATGCAGGTTTCTACCATTGTATAGGACAATCGCTAGACTTCGGAGGTCACTATGAAGGCACAGCGCTTGATTTAAGTGAACAGCCCCTCAAAGAAGCTCTTCTGCTCACTGACTGCACGCCAATGTAGAACGATGTAGGTGGAAAATGTCACTTCCCGGTAAACTGAGAGTGAATTCACAACTGAATGAACCTGTCATTTCCATCAGCCAGGAAATTGCAGGGACAAATGTTACCATTTGGATTTTGTTCACCTTCGTCTTATTAAGTAATAGCCAACCATACTGTTCTTATTCCAACTATTATGTAATGGAAATATTGTCACCTCATAACGACGGCAACGGTGAACTCCGAAAACCGTCTCTCGCTATGACTTACGCCACGTGGTCAGAGTGGTTGCGTGACATTTTCGCTTAGGCAGAGGTAAATCCAAAGCCGATAACACACACATAGGAATGGAGTACCCACATTAGTTGGTGAACGCATTTGCCACACAGAAATATGTGTGCATTGAATATGTGCAACGCAGGTGGCAAACTATTTAGGAGATAAAATATATTTCACGGTTGCGTGGGCTGAACGCAACCCTATCATCAGACGCGGCAGACAAAAAAACTATCATTTTCACAGAGAATGTGTGAAAAAGCTGTCGTGCCACAAAAGAATTTCGTTTTGTAGCATCACAGGCTCTGTTTTGCATGCTTTACCAGAAACTAACCAACCAGCGGCTGTGGTTGTGGGTGTTTTCATTTGCCCGGCGGAGTGACAGGATATCGAGGGAACAAAAGTACAATTTGATAATCAATTATTCAGCATTTCAGATGAACAACCGATCCCACAGGATAAAACCAGCATAGAGATTGTCAGAAATGCTATCGCAGATACCGCCTCGGAACAAATACATATGCCAATGAAGAGTATAGCTAGGTAATAGTGGGACCAACAGTCTCGACTGACTGACTTCCATATAATACGACTTTGACGAGTGCGTCTGTCTAATAGTTAGGATCGGTGCTTTGGAAATATGTAATTGGCTCCGAACCGCTGCCACGCATCTGCTCGTAAAACCTCGACTCACCTACTGCATTGTTTAGGCAGCGAACATATGCAGGTATTTGAGTAGAACGGCTCCGATTCCGTTAGTGCTGTGTAAGACAGCACTCTAGCCGACTCATTATTTGTCCCATAAATTATTGTGTCTAAGAACGTTACTGGCATAAAGTTATGGTAACCAAAAAAAGTGTCTAGCTAATACTTGCTAGTAATCGTCCCATTTGCAAAGCTGTTGGTCACCGTTGTTCAACAAACAGCAAAACCCGAGTGTCGTTTGCCCAAGAGATCAAGTTCTAGTCATTCAGCTTATCTTTATGCGAGAATTCCCTAACTTTTATCTACTTTTGGCGAAAGATCCTTTGTTCCAAAATGGTCCGCGTGCCAGGCTAAAAGTAGTGTACACTACTTTGGAAAGTGATATTGCTCCAAAGTGCCGCAGTACCACAGTGCGAAGACTGCAACTGCATGCGCTGGTCTATGTACCCAGGGTCTGGGGGTCAATGCTGCATATATTGTGGTTTGCTGTAAAAGCAAATGTAAGTAGTTCCTGCTGTTCATTTACCCGACAAACTGTTCGCGTAGGTTGGCAATGTCAGCCATTTCGGCTAAAAAATTACCTCGTGTTTATTCAGGCTGGCTGAGTTAAATAGCATTCACACAAGTTATTTTCGTCAACCTGTACCGTTACTCTGTTGCACATTTACTGTCGGATTTTCCATTGCCCGTTGCGGTCTTTTGGAGTTCAGACAGTTCTCTAACAAAGCAGGATTTGACACTCACGATTGTGTTCCTGGATCCATTGTTTAACGTTCAACTCGACGAAAGGGTGACTGACACAGAATCACTGTGCTTCAACGATTTGAGATTCGTACTCACAAACTGGCCAGGATTTCGTCCTTGTATCAATCAAGGGCGCGTCGACTGCTTAGCAGTTGTCCGAGGGTCAGCACAGGGCCGTAAATGTCTACGTGCGTCCTCACCGATTGCGTCATTCACCCAACCAGAGATCTAGCAGCCGCCCCGAAGTGCAGCATCTTGAAGCCCGTGTATGTGCATGGAGACGCACAACAGTAATAGGTTGACATGACTCCAGCGCAAACCTGCTGACCCCAGAATGGCGAGTAAGAAGGGGACTAATAACCGGAGCACTAGCTTGTCAGGCTGTTCAATACCAACACTAATCTGTTCCCATTAACTGAACCTCATCCTACCCAAACCAATACCAACTATCCTAAACGGAGTACGGTCACTCTCAGACCTCTGGTAGGTTGACCGGGTAGGTTTGTTCTGAAGCGCAGTTACACAAATTCCAAACACATCCGTGGTGTTCACTGGTATCAGGTGGGTCTCCAGTGTATCTCACACAAGCCCACGTGGGTTACTCATGCAAGTCACGCACCACGGGAATTTACCCATGTCACCATAATTGCAGATTTTTACACCTTCCACCAAGTTCAGTGATCAAGGAAATTATATGACTATCAGATTTTTAATTCAAGTAAATCTGTCCGGAATGTGGTAAGGGGGCCAACAATGTGCGTAGTTTATATCCTGGGGATATATGTAGTTCGCTGTCGTCTCAGTCCGGTGTAACATTTAGAGAAGCAACGCGCGAATGACAATTATGGACAAAAACCAGATGCTCTCAATAGGAATATTGAGACTGCCTACTGGATCCGTGTCTCCACCACAATTATTGCTAAACTCAACGGTCGAAGAAAGTTGGATACGCATTATTTGTGAAGGTACTTGGCTCAACGCATGGCCCATCGCGGAATTAATTACTACCTAATTTTCTTATTTCGTATACCGGATACACGGTTTTTCTAGACTGATGCCTGTTTGAAGTGCTGACCGAAGGGATTTGTGTCGGCTGCTTTTCCATCATGGTTCACTGTTCGAATGCGCGTCTGCCTTCTTATACTTACTGTCTACGCCGCGTACAGAGTGAGTGGATGTCGATGAGTAAGCAGCCGTATCTGCAGACATCCTGCGGCATCTATCAGCCACAATGGCTGACATATCCCGGGGGGCGGACACCGCTAATACTGTGAAGTCATAGTGACCGGAAGTCAAGACTTGCTGGCAAGACAAGAAAGCCGGCTGTCCGTTCTCAATTATGAAGGAGAGGCTGTGTGCGGAGTTCGGGAAGGAAGTGGACAGATAGCAAAAACTGATGCCGTGACCAATCAGAATGAAGTTAACCTGCTCAGCGAATTTGCGGATGGAAAGGTGGAGGTTTGAATCGAAGAGTTTGAGGCTATCGCTTTATACAACGCAATCGAAGGCGACGCCAACTTACTAACAATGTTGGTCACCTCGCTGACAAGAAAAGCGAAGGCTGCCTATATGTTAACTCGAAAAGGCAAAGCACCTCACGAGCTAAAGCACAAGACGGAAATGGTTCACAAGCGACAAACGATCTCGGGTCCACGCTGAGAACAGCGTGGAACCTAGTGATGGAGAGCCTGGTTTCCTGGAGAGATAAGTCTCTGAACACGCTCCCAGGATTACTCTTAAGGATAGCGACTAACCTGCTTGAGCAAATCAAGTGCTATCGAACGAATCTTAGCCGACTAGAATGTGACGGATAGAAGCGGAGATATGGGGTGAAACATGGGTTATTCAGTAGCGCAATCTGCGTACGCACATAGATGCGTCGCGACCGGATTCCAGTACTGGTGGTGCGTCGTGGGAGAAAGACATGACCCATATCTGTGCGCCTGCGGGAATGGGTTAGTTACCAGTTGTCGCGTCCGTAAAGATTGTACTTCACCTCCGCGTCGTTCTGCCACAATAATCTTACGCAGTGGGTCCAGTTGCTGGGATACACAATGAGCAGCTGTCTCAAGCCGCCATTAGTCTGTCACACCTTAGATGAGAATACATGAGTTATCGGGGACATGCTGGAGGCATCCAATGACCGCCAATGAGCTTAGTGCATCCTCTAATGAGTAAAGGAATCCCGAGGCAAATGTCTGAAGAGAAAATTCACAGTCGATAAGTCATGTTACCTACTTTGAGGGGACAAAACGATGCCGGTCCGGCCGTTGTAGTGAAGCCAATGGTTTGGCGTATGTTCTTGATTTAAGCAAGGCTTCACGTTCAGATCAAATAGAGCGAAGAGAAAAATCACTACGGCACATTGGCTGGTTTAGTTTACATTTGAATGTGAAACATATCCCAACCAGTTGAACTAGACTATCTGATTGTGAGCCCGCGTGATTCATACTTATTTGTGCGTTCTTCTTTCCTTTAGTCAATGTATGTAACCTCAAATCTGCTTGCTGGAAATACATATTTGAAAGGAAAGATCTTTACTAAGTAACTGAGAGACACCGGGTTCACTAGATTCCAATTCAAACGAGAATAATGATAAAATGGCACATATCTGATAGATGTACTTGCCTTTGTAGTTTGATCACTGGTTGCACCGTATCGTAGCAACGTATTGACCAGTTCCATGGCATTGTCTCGGGTCGCGAAGTGCAATGCAGTGAAACCATCTCGTGTGGCCAATTTCGGATTCGCGCCGGCTTCTAGTAGGACTTGTACCATGGTTTGGTGTCGAGCTCGAACCGCCAGGTGGAGTGGAGTGTGGCTATCCTACGTGTGGAAAAAGTGTGTCCATCGCTAATGGCAGTACATAAGCACCAAAACAGATAGTGATAATCATGACTGTACTACTAACTTTGATGACTCGCTGCGGAATGTTGAATGAATAGTGATCATGGCCTTGGCACATAGTGTCTCCCGAGTTTCTGATACCCGAAAATTTCTTCTGACCAACATGATGGGGTTCAAGGGAATGCGCTTTACGCAGAAATGGTGGAGTTGCCAATTCGACCCACCCGGTATGAAGGACTATCTTTTTGATCATAGCACTAATTAATGGTACGTATAGCTGACTATTTCAGCCAGACTATTCAGTAGTAACACAATCATTCAAGCACTTGGGAGTAAAAGAGTTCCTCAGCTGCATTGGCCGAGGACACCATGAGTTGCCAGATGCGGCAGAAGGGCAGTTTGCAGAACAGAACTGATTCAACCATTGGAAGTGATGCCAAGGTTGAAAATGGGTGTTGTGCTTTACGACCAAATAACCACGTCAAAAGGATGCAGTATATCACACGGTGTTGTTCTATTGTCCTTTTTTCAATCAGTCGATCTGTGGCTAAAAACACAATCCGGAAGAACTATAGGCTCTACTCACTCATTGGTCTATGCGGTCTAGCGGCTCTATGCGCTAACCAGCTATTAGTTTCGTACTTAGGGTGTCTTCAATGTTCGTTTTTGCCTAGGATCTATTGTGCCACTGGTATTTATCCACTCTCCAATGACGTTACCACGTAACGCAGAATGTTGATATACTTCAGCTAACGTCCTACTGATCGAACTGACGGAAGTTCACTTCAACGTTAACCGTAGGTTAGCCTGAGACTGTATGTCGAAATCCACCCACACAACGAGGGTTTCAATAAAACCTATAATGAATACTCTCGTTACGTCTTTACTCGATCAATATTTTGCTCAAGGCCACTGTATGTGAGAATTTGTCTGAGTTGAGGTCTTAATGTTCAGGTTTATGGGTTATCGCACTACCTAAAACTTCACAACGTACAAGTTATGTCATCGTACAGTACGTTATAATCGTGTTTATAATGGTCAAACTTTTTACTAGGTTCACTCAACTTGATTGATGAGTTTCAGTGTTCCGTCTATCGCAACAAAGATAAACGTTTGCAAACGTGATTGTACCAGAATCGCTGTACTGCTCATCTGTTTTGTTGCTTTGGTGATTTCACACTTTGTTCGCATTCGCCTAAGCCTCTTACAGTGCATTAACTTTTGTGTTCACCGTTCTTTCTCAGGCATCTGTGCTTACCACACAAGTTAGTCAGTAAGTATCTCTCGTCAAACACTTGTCAGTTAAACTGCACATCGGTCCAGTTTGGAACATCTGGGGCAAGGACCACATGCCGATCAACCTAAAGTTTCAAACTAAGGGAAACGAACTCGGATTCCGGTTCCAAATGGTTGATGATATTTAATGTTCTGAGATTAGCAGGTAACTAATTCGTGATTCCAACCACTGTACTAGAACTTATGAACAATGTTCGGCAGCTTGTTTACGACAAAAAAGAAAGTACGCAGTAAAGGATGACTCATTCCAAACCCTTCCTGCGGCCAAGATAATGATTTAGTCTCTCTCACTAGCCCAACGATCAGGACTGAACGTGTGACTCACTCTGGTTTGCGGGTCGATGTGAGCTCCATGACTGATCAATACCTTGGCTGTTTCTGTCTGACCACTTCTCGCTGCCAAATGTAACGGCGTTTCATTGCGGAGTGTAGTTTGGTCAACGTTCGCTCCGTGTCGCAGCAAAGAGGACACCGCTTCAGTTGCACCGATAAATGAAGCCACATGAAGTGGGGTTAAGCCAGTCTGCGTAGGAGTAGGAGGAGCGGGAAGAAAGAGGAAAGATCGATCGGTTTGGCGTGTTAAGAAGGTAGGCCACTGAAATAACCTGGGATTAATGAATTCAAGTTTTTGAGGGGAACAAACTAGCGTTTTATTACTCTCGAAATGCTAAGTGACCACTATAACTCTCGGAAGACTGCTCAGTCGTTTTTTAGTGATATCTCGTGGTTGGTTTTATATAGCGGCAAACAACTACGAGTTAATGATGCACGCTGGAGATAAACAGCCATAAACATTTCACCAAAGCTTTGTGCTTTCAATGTAAGAGGTTTGCAATGCTATTTGTCGAAAGTGTACTGACAAGTGGGATCTGTTGGCCAAACACATCTGCTGTAGTACACAGCAGACGGTTCTAGCATGCTGCTGTTCGAACGAGTTTAATCCACAACAATACACTGGGTGCGCGACTAGTGTGTGTTGGACGATGGGACTGGATAGGAAGAAGCATTACGGGTTAGGTAGGTTCAGTCGAGGTCATAATGTGCCACTGATAAAGAAACGGAATCAGCCCGACACATGGTCCTTCAATCCAGATGAATGACTCCGGGTACCCAGGGTTCATGGCCTATTGGTGCTAAGTCTAAGGACAAAATTTCGTGTTAATTTGTGTGACACAGCCAACTGGGACGTCAAATAAAACGAGCATTTAACTATTCCACGTCATGGGCCGTAGTTGACACTAACTTTAGAACCTGAAAACTTTAGAACCTGAAAAGCTTGTTCAGACAGGTCTAATCGTCGCTCAATTTACATTAACAATTAGGATGGAGTCCCAAGTCAAGCGACTTCCAATGAAGATCGTTGTACAAACAACCCGCTTCAAGTCATGAGAGAAATATCAGTTCCGATTGATGAACGAAAATGAAACGACCAATTGTCTGAAACAGAACAAGCATGTGACATCACACTGCTTTACTTTGTACAAGTAGGGAAGTTATCGTTCATCGGACTACCCTGTAACTGTGCGTCAGTAGGGTGAAATAGCTCATGAACATCGATCATATTCCGTTTCGTAGGTGCTCAAAGCTCAAGTAAAAGAGGAGCTGCGAGCCGTGTTTAGCGTAATGGCCACCGCTATCGGCCAGCTAGACCGGCCTCCTCCTTGGTCGGATGAAAGACTATAAACGCAGTCGACGGTTTTCAATGGCCCATGTGCAACGCAAAAACGGTCCATCTGGTTTGACTCATGCCCAAAGGAAAGGCTCAGTTGAGTCATATTAACCTTAGGCACCGAACTACCTATGTGGCTAAAACTTGGCTTAGTAGTTCAACAAAACGAATATTGCATCAAGTTCACTCTGAAGATGCACAGGACAGATGAGCCTAGGTCACCGTTGCATACAAGACACTGGCATTTCCTTATCTCACAGATGTTTGACCATTGGGCCTACACACTACTGATTTCCACTTTCACGAGACATGCCCACTTAAACCACTATACAAACATTGGAAATCAACTACAAAGCAGCGATTGTGGCAAAATCTACGTCAGGCAAATTGGAAGGAAGCTTTGCACTCGTAGTACAGAGTACCAGGAGGCAGTAGGAATACATGGTCTATATTCAGTAGTTTCCGCGCATAAAGTTCAAGAAGGCCACCACTTGGATCTGAGGAATGTTAGGATTCTGGTGCGTGGGAATACAAAGCTTGCGAAGGAATTTGTTTTGGAAACATGGCACTCCCTAACGAATTCAGTCAAGTAACACATTAAACTGGACGCATTATATGCAACACTACTGACGAGGGATCGCCAGCTCGGTCCATTAGATTCGGCGGAACAGGGCACTAGATCATCAGAACGGGCAACAGACTTGTTCACAAGAGAGAAGAGGCAAAGACCACGGAGAGGTCAATTTCAAAAAACATCTGCTCATCGAACAAGCAGAACAAGTATCGTAGTCCCAACTAATAGGATTGCCAATCTACAAGACCAGTCGCGGTGACATAAAAAAGCATGCACACTATGGGCGGCGCACTCTCTCGAGGCTTTGCAACGCTACCTCGAGCTACGCAACAGCGTACTGATGGTGTCAGCTCAACTGGTGATGATTTGTAACCACATTGTCAAACTCAGCGCATAGCTCGACCGCCACCAGAACAACCTGAGCTGCCAGTTTTCGCATCTCACACAGATTCATCTCTTTAAGCAGAAGAGCTTCCAAAGCGCGAGTTGTCTTACTGGGTTCCCTCAGCTATAATGCGTGGCAGAATCGCGGTAAACTAAGTGTTTGGAGCACGCTTCAGTGTTACTTGGGACGCATAGTAAGTTACGGGTGATACCTTTGAACAGTCAACTCATGTGAGCATCAGGTACCGACCGATTGGAGTCTAAGTGGAGTAGTTCTAAGTCAGCTTAACAACTAAAAGAACTTGTGATAGTAGTTGTAGATCAAATTCCGGATCTTATACGCAATGGCTGCACCAACCAGAAGCTGGGTGGTTCAGATCATGAAATGTAATAAACTTATGAGTTGCTTGAATGCTCACAATCCCTTTGGAATAGGTGTTGTGCTATTGACAATGAATGCAGGACCACGATTTCCAGTCGTTAATTTTGCTCACTGTAATAGACAGGACCACACGGCGGGTATTTCGGAACACAAGAGTGAATTCTAAACTGCGCCAAAGCGTTACGCAAGGAGCTCCGTGGTATGACGGTAAGTCGTCCGCCAGAAAATCATGGCTGTGAGAGCCAATTTCTATTACCATCCATCTCTGCTTGAATAGTCACAATAAGGATGAAGCTTACGATGGTGGAGCGCGGTATTGGTGCCAAGAAGTCATCGAAATGTTCTATTTGCACGAAGTATACCAAACGACGGCCTTCTTTCTTGAGCATTATCCACCACTTAAGTACTACTGCAAACTCTATTATCAGAACTGTTGGACACAGCTAGACGAGCAGCGAGTACACAGGGCTCTCCCAATTGGCCACAAATAGTGGAGTGCCACGGTTTTGTTTTGGAAGCAGATAAACCGACTTGTATCTATCATCAGAAACGGAGCAGTACGATTTCCTTAGTTCCTTGTAAGCTAGCTGCGGCTTACCCAAAATGTACCCCGTTGTTTGGTATGGTCCTGCGTTCTAATTGTCTAACCCCTGGTTCCAACCATCATATGAAAAATAATGGTTGAAACGTTGCTGAACCGTTGCAAATTCATCTTCAGAATTCTGAAAGGCAGCCGTAACAACGTTTTCGTCATACTGACGTAGATGATACTGTGTTATTCTAACAGGCGCTACAGGGTGTCACTAGGAAAACATTCCTGCTCTAGCATGGCTGGGCCATACCAAGGACTATAGTGCATCGACTCAACAGCGCTAGCGTCTGATGTCACCGCCATACGGAAGGCCGTTGTACTGAATGAAGTTGTATGGAATTCAGGGCTTGGATGTCGAGTTTACTATAGTGTTTCATTTAACGGTGAATGAGAAAAGAAACTGCATATAGTTACACTGTGACGTTTGACAAAATCGCGGAGTTCCTACGATACCACCGGTTGGTTCGGATGCGCGCAGACGACGCTGGAAGGAATGGTTAATTGAATGACTGAACTATAACCTTTCCGTTTCAAATGTAGACAGCCCTCGAGAATGATGCATCTGCTGAACCAAGTACATCTTGATGCGTGTGACAAAATAAACCTGGAATCCATGCTCCCCCACCGGTTGTACTAGCTGTCCCACGCAAAGGTTAATGCAGAAGGATTTTGCCGCACGGAATGTGATTGTGCAGAAGGAGAGGAACTGGACACATTGTCTTAGTCAGCACCACCGTGGTCATCAACATCAACGATGACTGCAATCGCAGCAGTAATGCAGTGTGTTGCAATGGTGATTTGCTGTCGCACAACTACTAATTGACACAAAAAGCGCAAACCTACCGAGTAGAGTACACTTCGTCGAACATGTTTTAATATTCGATGTAAACTATCGGTATCAGGTACCGAACATAGCGAACATGTTAGGGCCAAAATTAACTAACTGGTGTGTGAGGGAGGACTTCGCTACCATGCGCCATACTTAATGTTCCTCCATACACAGGATCAGCGGGAGGCGGCATCAAAGGCCGCATTGGTTTCGGTCGCGTGACACTAGCCAGGCATAGGGTGGGTTGCGTGGACGCCGAACTGGAAAACGCAGTGAGTCAATAGTGCACCCGAGAAGGGGGGGGGTAAGTAATTTCATTTCCCGTCTTCAGATCACTGGTTGTTATCCTACACATGGGAAACGAACGACCGTCCTAAGTTATCATTGGGCGACTAGATGTACTATCTAATCCGTTCAGTGCGGTTCACTTTTGGCTCCTTTGTTAATCTAAGGAACTGACTTGTGCCTCATGTTATTCTGCTCACATGGTTGTAGACAATCTGATGCTACCCAACAGAGGCAATGGGGAAAGAAATGAGTGAGCCTAAGGTACTCCAACTGACTAGCTCAAATTTACTTCACAGTAGTCTCTTCCGTTTACATAATCTGTAGGCTCTAATGTACGCCATCTTTGACACCAAAGCTTCTCCTGGTATTCCAGATCAGTGTGTCTCGAGCTCGTCACTGTCAATATAGTTATTTAAATGGGCGGACTAATCAAATCGTACAGAGGTATTGACCAAGCAACCCATTAGATCAGGGGGGTCCAAACTTTTTGCAAGGAGGGCCACATTTTGTGAGGTAAAAATATGTCGGGCCAGATGCAGTTTGACATTAAGATACTAACAACAATTACACATGTACGAAAATAATCCAAGTCTGAATTGATTATGTCATGATGAAGCCACAGGTCAGTTGAAATGTCAACGCGGGCCGAAATTTGGACACCCCTGCATCAGATACTTTCTATAACTCACTGATAACTCGAACTTTTGAGCTACAAATCGCCACCAGCTTGCACTGTTTCGCTACTTGGCCTTAGCGCGAGGCGCGGTGGAGAAGTTCCCTTCATCTGAAGCATCCGATTGAATCA